ACTATAGACATACTGTATATATATATATATATAATATTTAATCCAGAAAATAATGGGGGGCACGGTTTTAGACAGGTGTATTTTATTATTCTCAATACAGTTGCTTCATTGTTCTTAAAATGTTCTTGAAGACTACGTCCGGTAACTTATTTATGGGCCATTCTGTACTCATATTAAACAACATCTGAACTCAAGAATTCTATTAAGAAATCAATCATATGTATTAGCGATAAAAAGTGACTTTATTTTTAAAAAATCTTTAAAAATCTTGAATATATTCAGAATAATTATTCAACTTTTTTCTCTTCTGCATACGGAAATATTAGCGTTAAATTAATATCTACCATTTTAAATGCATAGAAGTAAATATATACAAGGTAAACGAACAGGTGCTTTATAATCTTCTATCGCCGAATATTACAGAGTTATGTCGTCGGTTCTTATACACGATTAAACTAATTAAATTTTTTACATTNCTATAAAATTCTAAGAGAAATCGATTAGAAATATGAGAAATTCATTAACTAATACTTTTCATTAGATATATTTCACACACGTGACTAAACACATGGCTAATTAATTACGCACGTGATTAATTAGCGTACGTTGCGCCTCTCATGAAAATTTTTCAAATTAGAAGTATTATACATGTAATTGTCTTTTCTGCTTTTTGTAATAATGTTATTATATGTTATTCTTACACACTTACAATATTGTATTTATAATATTCAGGAACAAATTTACTCATTACACGAGGCTGCAGTTTAGAGCCTCGTGCTTTAAATTCAATTATTTGGTGAAAGAGAAAATTTTTCTTATATTAGACTTACACTTTAGAGTGCAATAACACTATAGACATACTGTATATATATATATATATATATATAATATTAATCCAGAAAATAATGGGGGGCACGGTTTTAGACAGGTGTATTTTATTATTCTCAATACAGTTGCTTCATTGTTCTTAAAATGTTCTTGAAGACTACGTCCGGTAACTTATTTATGGGCCATTCTGTACTCATATTAAACAACATCTGAACTCAAGAATTCTATTAAGAAATCAATCATATGTATTAGCGATAAAAAGTGACTTTATTTTAAAAAAATCTTTAAAAATCTTGAATATATTCAGAATAATTATTCAACTTTTTTCTCTTCTGCATACGGAAATATTAGCGTTAAATTAATATCTACCATTTTAAATGCATAGAAGTAAATATATACAAGGTAAACGAACAGGTGCTTTATAATCTTCTATCGCCGAATATTACAGAGTTATGTCGTCGGTTCTTATACACGATTAAACTAATTAAATTTTCTACATTTTTCGATCACTAACGAATTCTAATTATGAAAGATCTTGTCCATATTCGAACGAACGTAAAAGAATCATTTTTTGGTTTGTAAAGAACCATCGTACTGTAAAGAATTCTCTTTGCAAGTCCAAAATCTTCTCCTCATCATTCATGATTATAATTTAAATTAGATAATGGCATTACATCAATTAATTAAGAGATAATAGAAATCGAAAAATTCAAAATTCTTAGTATTCGGTTAAATATTTTACTATTAATAAAACATCAATAAAATTATAATTACCTAAACAATTGACAATAGAATATAAATAAATCATTATTTACTTATTATATGAGAAAATTNATATATTTATAATAAATTTTTTTAACGAAGTCTCTTCTACGTTATTGGGTTGTAATTTTAAGAAAATGTAGACCTATAAATTCCCATTGTCGTTCTTTAATCTCGAGAATAAAGTTAGATAAAAAACGAGACTAGATATGAAAACCTTAGGAATAGAAGGACCAGATTAACTATATACAAATGTCCATTATAAAGAGAAAGTTATGTTATTTCAATTTAAATTTTTCCCCTGAAAGGTGTTAGATAGATGACCGACACGCCTCTATTGTTAAAGGAAAAGTATGATGTACAGGGGCAAGCCACTATTAAATTGAGGTGGAGAGCATATATTTTTATTTTTAATTACCTAAATATTTACTATAAAGTAGTTTTATTCCATAACTTCTGCAAATAATGTGCCTGAAATTAAGAGATTAACTGTGACAAAAGGAGAGAATGGCCTAATCATTGATGGAACCATGTTAAAGGCTATAATACGAGATGAGTCAGAGGCTAGTCTGAACCATAGCTTTAAGTCTAGACTTAGTTTCTGTAACTGGTCCAACGTATTTAATAGTTTATAGAAGATATTCTTAGAAAATTATATTAAATTTGTCCAGAAAAAATATACAAATGACTGATATTGTAAATAGTAATACATCTTCACAAATGATATATTAAAATGTAAGTACTGTAATGTATTAAAAAAAACAAAAATTAAAATAATTTATTTATATAAAAATTATAATTAAAATTATTAATACTTTAATTTTTCTTTTTAAATGTGTGTGAAATTATTTTAAAAAGTTTAAAATTTTATTAATACAACTATAATATATATAAATTATAAACAAAATACAATCGAACCTCCAATAACGGCCACCTGTAAACAGCGGCCAGAATGACTAATGTTTAGAGGTTCATTTTTTTCAGAAACTTCTCTTTATTTTGAACAAAAATGCATAGAAAATAACCTTCAAACAAGGACCATTTTTTATGTTAGTGGCCGTTATTAAGAGGTTTGATTGTAATAGAATTAATTTATAAAATTTTGTAATGTNAAATTTATTCGAAATCCTTTAGTAAGTTTATATAAAATACATTAAGGAAATGATCTTTCGAGTAAATTTTAGAGCCAATTAATGCGTAAATATTATAAAATAAATCACCTTAATTCATGTCATAATCTTGCAAACATCTTAACTTAATTAATTAGCTTCAATCAATGAAAATCCGTTTATTCTCTCTTAATTTATATTCGATAATAATTAAAAAATGTAATATAGGCCCTATATATATATTTTTTTTCGTTATTTTTAATGCTTTTTAAACAAAAACATGAATTCAAAATGCGAGGCGCCTATTTGCTACCTCGTAAAGTACTCTATGAGAGTACTCTATCTCTCATAGATAAGCACTTTATAAATAAGTACCTCGTAAATAGGCACCTTCAATGGATACTCAAATAGATATCTCGGTAGTTTATCATATAAATAGGTACCTCAATGAATATCTCGGATTGATATCTGATGTATAATAGGCACTCAACCGGCATCTTAATAAGTGCCTCATAAATAGGTACCTCAACAGATACATCATAGTAGAGGCAGGCTTTAAATGGTACTTGGCATCATTATAAGAGTCACCTCAATATGTACCACATATTATTATGAGGCCTTTAGGAATAATATAACGTACCAACTCAGAAAATGTAATTAAATTACACATAAATATGAGTTTTCTAAGTTTACTCTTGACGTTCTCAATAGAATTTAGCGTGTTTTATGGCCGAAAATAAAAGAAAAACAAAGCCACGAAGATCGAAGTATAAAGAAGAGATCAAACTATGTGAAGGAAATGAGATCATTCCACTATCTGTTCACACTTCCTTATACTTTACTCTACCTCATTCTATCAAGTCGTCCCCATAGCGGAAGACAGTTGTTTGTTCTGATGTTTCAATAAAGAGTCGCGTATATTTAGAATCGACACGCAGCATAAATGTTTATTTTATCGAAAATCCCAAGGCTAAAACCTTAAATAAATTTATAAAATATACATTTAAATAATGGTTATTTTCAATTGAATTACTGTTACGTACTTTATTCTAACTAACATTTATTACTATTTAGCGTGCGTTTTGTTAATGACGCATCGCAATGTCGCTACGTGGCGCGTATGCTTCAAACATTCATAAATCACCGTTTATAATGATAAAAATGATAAAATTTCGTTTTAATAAAACATAATTGTTATATCTCACTGTGAAAATTATTATAATTATTAAGATATCTTCTAATTTTCGTCGTCGCTTGCGATGACGCGTCGCTAATTTAACAGGCTTTTCTCTAAATAAATTTTCTTACATTGTAAGAAATTTCAATGAAAATTGAAGAAAAATACAATTTTTATTCGAAACTGTCATTAAATCTTGTAATAAACTTACGTTTTTATTGATTTTGTCAACGACGCGACGTCGCGACATCGCGACGCGTCGCTTACCCAATTAAATGTTTGCCATTCTGTTTTAAAATGGCGTACACCTACAAACATTGGAACAACAATATATCTTTATATAAGACACGATACGGCTCCAACGGAATCTTTATATCTTGAGCAGTTTTCGAGATGGACAGCGAAACAGAAAAACAATACATATTCACTACACATACAGTACCTATTCAAATTCAAACTTTCGAAACATTAACCGCCATCTGTCGAGGGCAAATGTAATTAAACTGTGTATATTAATATTAATTATATACATCGTCACATATTTGACAACATTATAAAGTTCACAATCGTTTTATATAATAACGCTTAAAATCATGAAATTAGTTAATTTATTTGTATGGCCTGTAATTATAAACATGTTATAAATCATGATACACATCTTATCGCTGAAATAAAAGTCGCGCCATCTGTTTGCCGAGATATAAACCAAATTAAATAATTTATTACCATCATTACTCATTTAACTTAGATTAATACTTAAATATTTATTAATAAATCAAATGTAAAGGTTTATTTTATATTTTTAATTATTTTTTAATTTAATTTTTCTTTAATTATTTTCAAATTAAATACAAATAAAATTTTGATATTTTTCATACATTTATAACTACTAAATACATAAATATATTTATATATATANTTATAAGTGAGCAATTAATTTTCAAAATTTATTTTTAAAATATAAATTCTTATAGCCATAAAAAATGCTTTAAAAAATAATAATAATAAAAAATTGTGTGTTTTTTTCTGTCATTTATTTATTTATTTTATAACATTTATACTTTTAAAGTATAATATAAATTAACTTTGTTTTATTGGATACATTTTTTTTCTTTTCTTTTTGGCATTATTTTTTTTTTCAATTTATGTTACAATTTTGCTTTCTAATAAAATAGCTGCAACCAAGAAAATGACATAAATTGTTATAAGAATAAATCCGTACCAACGTTTCACTTGAAATTTGAGTGCTGTCATTGTTAACATTGTTAAAACTAAACTGAAACACAACGTCCCATACAGCAGGCTGACCAGGCTTGTGTATTTTAACTGGAAAAAAAAAAACAATTCAAATAATTATAATTAAATAAGATAGGAATTTGTTTTAATTGTAAATACGTAAAAATTTTACGGTTAATTTAATTTTAATTTTTGTTTTTTTTTTAACAAATTGAAGCATTTCGATGCAGAATTTTTCAAAAATTAGATGAGTTTAGTTATGGAGTGAAGAGATTTAATTAATGATTATTTGGTTTTAAAATAAATTACGAAAATTCGGCAAAAGGTCAGTCAAAATTTCAGTTTAAAAATATATAACAATTAGAAAGTATATAAAAGAAATTTGATTCAAAAGTGAGAAAAATTAATGAAAATTTGACTTGAAATGGAAAAAACCAATGAAAATTTTGAAAGTGAGAATATCAAGTCAAATTTTCATTGATTTTTCCAATTTCAACTGAAATTTTCATTGATTTTTCTCACTTTCGAATTAAATTTTCATTGATTTTTTCACTTTCGTCAAATTTTCATTGCTAAGTGAGAAAATCAATGAAAATTTGACTTGAAAGTGGAAAAAAATCAATGAAAATATGTCCGATTAGAGAACGAAAAAACTTCGTAAAAATTACACTTGAAAGATAAATAAATAAATAAATAAATATAGATTTTTAATGACAACTCAATTTAATATATTTCGTGATTTAAAACAAATTTTAAATTATATTCTTTTAAATTAAAATTTATACTTATTTCACCTCGATTGGATGTCCTCCTCTTACAATGCTAATTGTGTAAGGTATTCCAACTCCAAGTAATAAATCTTTAGTTAATAATTAAGAAAATATAACTTTATATTGAAATATTTTAATCATCATAATTATTATTTTTCAAGGATACTTAATAATGGTCCACCATAACATGCACTAATACCCATTCTAGGATATCCTTGTTTAGCAACCGATGTATTTGATATAAAATCTGAAATTAAAATGAATTAAAATAAATTTTGTAAATGTTTAAAAAAAATTTTTTTAAGAATGACCCGAAAGTCGGTTAGCCAATTTTTTTTTTTCCAGTAAGACATTAATTTTAGGCCCTTACGATGGTTAACTGACTTTTGGGCCATCCTATTTTCAAAGATTACTTTTAAATCATTTCTTTAAAAAATTATACAGAAATTTATTTTATTTATTATAAAAATTTCATATAATTTATAATGATATCGATTCTAATAAATATTCTTTGAATTTTATTGATAAAATATTATAATATTTGCTATTTTATAGACTTTTTACGTGTTATGAGTAGGGGGAAAAGTTGATAAATCATTGAAAATGGTCAATAGAAACAGTTACAGAATGTCCATAGATCATTTTTTGACTATTCAGGATTTTAAACTGGATTGATGACATTTTTGGATGAAAAATTAAAGGTTTTTTTTCTTTGTTTTTTCAATTTTTGTTGGGTTTTTTGGTTTATTGGTTTAAATAAATTACAAAATATAGTAGCATCTTTCTACCAATAAATAAAAACATTTATGAATATTGAGTTATTTAATTTGAACTCCATACATTTCTTTATTAGACAGTAAAAATCTGTCCAAAAGAGAACCTTAATAAAATGGAAATTTGCGTAAGAACACGGCGATTTTCTGTTTGAAAAAAAACCTGTTTAAAACGAAAACTTGCCAAACCGGAAAAAATATTCAGTACCGTACGAGTACGGTTTACACAGATTACACTATAAACATATATATTTAAAATAGTTTAATGATAAAATAATGAATAATGATATGAGTAATAGTGTTTTAGGGGCATGGAGAGTGATCACATGAGGGTCTCTATACCTTTCGATCTGATGCTCTCGATTTATATATATATATATTTTTTCTCTCTCTCTCTTTACGCCCTTGAAATGACATTAAATGATATTATAGATAATTTTTAGACTTCACAATTAAAATTTCATTATAAGGTAGCACAGATTTTCACTTGTGCTACCTTATATACTACCAGACTATAACGTTACCTTACACCTAACTCTTGTCAGCTTTGTACTGTTTTATACCACACAATAACACTTATTTTGCAGATGAAACGAGCAATCATGAGTCTGAGACTAAGGCCTGAGGCCCTTCGATATGTTCTGTTCAAATATAGCTCTATAAGTAGTTCATTTTTTCCTTCCTTTATGCACTCGAAATTATAAAAGCCCTGTTACATGTTTAGGTTGCAGAACTTCCCACCCTCTACTGTTTTATAATATAAATATAGATTAATATAGAGTAAGTAAGTAATGTAATATACAAACCTCCAATGCTGTTACCCCAAGCTAATACAGTTAAACCTAAAATGGCATCACTTAAGCCAAAAACAATTCCAAGTGCCTGTTTAATATTAAAAGTAAATAAATAAATAATTAATTAAAAATTTTATTTTACTGTAAATAAATTTTAGAATATTAAATTTCTTTTTTTTTGTATTTTTAAATCATATTTTAAAGTAAATAATTTAAACATTTATAATTAAATTATAATATCAAAATAAAAAAATATTATATACAGAAATTATTATTATTATTATTATTTCCTAAAAACTTTGCGATTTTTCAGAAGGAATTTTATTAAAGAATTTTCTTTCTAAAAGTCCTTGTTTTTTGGATTTAAAACTTTAAAAAAATCCTAAATTTTATATTTAAATACTGCAAAAAGTCAATTTTTCATTGGTTATTTTTTCTTGTTTTTTGGAAATTTTAAATAAATTCTAATTCGAAAAATTCGAAAAATCCAATATTTCTTCAATGGGCAAATTTTATTTAAAAAAAAAAAATACATACAAAGAAAGAAAGAAAGAAAGAACACCACAAAAAGACATTTTGAAGAATCTCTCCAAAAAACTTTTGGATACTTTGAAAGAAATAAAACTTTTTTTTTATCATAAAATAATTTAAAATAAAAATATTTTTCCTAAAATAAAACAAGAATAAATTGCTTTGAAAATATATATATATATATTTGTATTATATAAAGTAATAATAATAAAAAGAAGAATAAAAAAACTTGCCTTAAGTAACGAAACTATTTCTTTGGCAATGCAATAAATCCACGTGACAGATACAGCAAAACCTAAATAGCTAAAAATAGCATAATATTTAGGTGGTTCCTCTTTTTTTGAGGTAAAAATAACCACGAAAGCCAAGATTATCGAGACAATTGCTACGATACCGACTACAGGAAATACGCCACCGATTAAAACTAGACCACCTAAAAAAAACAAAATAATAATAATAATATGCTATTATTTAAAAAGCTATTTTTCAACACAAATTTTGAAAGGAGGATATATAAGCTATAATATGAAATAGGAAAAAAAAAAACACCGTAGAAACAAATAATATGTTTTGAAATATTTTGTTATTAATATTGTATATT